GAGTCTGTCCGGGACTGGCTTTCGAGAAGCGAACTTTCTCGGTTTGACTTGCCTAATTTCTTCCTTATGGTCACATCCGTTTGTCGAAAGCTTTTCCGCAACTTGATTGTCATTTGCTTGGTTCGGCTCTGATGTTTTCCTGCGATCCTGTTGAATAGTACAGGCCGATATTGGTAGAACTAATAATTTGTGACTACTTAGTCAATAAAACGAAATCTGGCAAAAACTGTTCTTTGTGATGACAACAATAAAGTATCGGGTAGGTTTTCAGTTCTTATATATTATTATGATATCATCCGACGAAGTTATCCGCCAAGTACAGATATATATATATATGTTCACATAATTTGACTTTCTAACCGCAAACAACCCTGCATTGATGATAATTTTTGCAGCACTACAACCGTCAGTTACACACATGTGGTTGAGCAGAGAAATCCCAGTTTATCTATTCTGGGAATTTTTCCAACCATTTCAAGGAAAACATTTTGCTTTGATGGTAGACCTTTAGTGTTGTAATGAGCCCAAGGATTCTGAAGATTCCTTAAAGTTTAACCATGCAAGAAACATCCACGGAAGTGGGATGACAAAAAACAGTGAGCAACCATATCTTGAGTACCTTCTTGGGACAAGGTGTGTAGCTGAAATCATGTATATTTTACTGTCTGTCGATGAGCATGATAAGTTTTTCTCCGCGGGAAGCTGGCTTTTTCACACTTTTAAAATTAGATTGGCTGCTTTTCCTTGTGAAGTTAAGTTGGAAAGTTGGAAGTCACAAGTTACGGTGACCTTCAGCACATTATTTAACACAGTTGAAAAGCCCAGTCATCACGTTGCTTTGTGAATAAAATAACACCAAATTCAAAGCTTTTACGGTGTCAAACTTTCACCCTCGAATCAGAGAGGTCCGAAGTATGTAAGACCATTGGATCGCTGGCGTTGCATCAGATGTAATCATAGGTCAGCGGGAATCGGCCTATGAGTATGCAGTATACTGGCCTGAAGCCAACATGGGGCGTTATTTCTGGTCAAGGTTGAATTCGCTTATTGACCCAATGTTACCACGCCAATGGAGGCACTCGGAACATTGGAAGTCATTAGTGGACAGTGCCGCCACTGTTTTTATGAGGCTTATAGAGTCTGAGACGTTCAATTTTATAGTTTTGCAGGTTCGTGGCGTTTTTTGGAAACGAGAACTCCAACTTCAACTAGGTGGTCTTTCATCACTTTGTAGCTGCCTTGCCAACTGACGTAAGGATACGATCGCATTTGAACTCCTTTTGTCATTCACACCAACTGTGGATCAACGGCTAAAGTCCATCAACATCCTTGGTGAGCCATTTGTGTGACCGTCACATCAACCTAGACGTTACTATCATCCGAATAACCCAACAGCCTTTTTGTGCACTGTTAGTAGCCCATCTGGCAACACACTCTTCGAGGAAAATGGAATTTCTCGACACGTGGAAGCATTGGTAGCTGGCTTGCTTTCATTTGTTGTTGATCAGGTGGCTGCATAAACTGGAGATCTCTCCTGGTTCGGTGAAGAAAATTCTACTGGCTAATTGCCAAACCGTTCAACAGCTAGGTGATAGACAACCGGCAGGCCGGAAGCCAGTGAGTTAAGCTCAGCGAGGAATCTGTTATTGTCTACGTTATTTACCCGGACTTCCAATATGAAAGTTTAAGGAACGCGCATCCACTTTCGATAAAATAAACCAAAGTCAGCTACGCGTGAAAGGAAGATGGCCCTCGCTGCGGAGTTATTTATTAGGAGATGCCAACTGAACAGTTACAGACTATTGGACAGGGAAGCAAAACTCTCATTTGCATTTTGTTTACAAAAACTGGAGATCCCTCCTGTCT